TCTCTTATTCTTTTCCTTCCTTCCTTCCTGGCCTTCCTTTTTCTTTCTTTCTCTCTCTCTCTCTTTCTTTTCCTTCCTTCCTTTTTCTTCTTTCTCTCTCTCTCTCTCATTATTTTCCTTCCTTCCTTTTTCTTCTTTCTTTCTTTCTTTCTTTCTTTCTTTCTTTCTTTCTTTCTTTCTTTCTTTCTTTCTTTCTTTCCTCTCTCTCTCTCTCTCTCTCTCTCTCTCTCATTCTTTTCCTTCCTTCCTTCCTTCCTTCCTTCCTTTCTTCCTTCCTTCCTTCTTTCCTTCCTTCCTTCCTTCCTTCAGCCGCCCATCTCGCCCGCGGATTCCTCCCCCTCCCCAAAGTTCCCCTCCCGAACCGAACAGGTGGGGGGGCGGCCTCGCAAGATGGGGGGGGTCGCCGCCTCCCCAGGAGCCCCGCGACCCCCTCCGCCCTCGCCCCCGCCAGCGCCCCGGAGACGCGCCCGCCCGGCTTACCCAGCGCCCCGGTCAGGATGCGGGGACTGGCTGCGTGAGGGACGGCGGCGCAGCGCAGCGCCGGCAGCACCAGCAGCAGCGCCCGCAGTCGGCGGGCGAGCGAGGCTGCGGTGCGGCGGCGCTCCGGAGGAGGGAACATGCTGAGCGTCTCTAACTTCGGGGGGCCCGTCTCGAACTTCGCTTTGGGAACCGGAGTGAACGCTGAAAGCGGTTATATGAGCTGGCCAATCCCCGGCGGGGGCGGGGCAAGGTGAAGAAAGCGGCGTGGGAAAGGGGGCGGAATGTGGAGTCTGGTATAGCTGCCTTAATCCGGTGTCTCTCTCTCTGTCTGTAGAGATTCTCAATCCTCCGGGTCCTGGGATTGTCCCCCCCAGATGCTTTTCCAAAAGGCAATTAGACTCCCCCCCCCCCGGAAACGTTTCACCTCTGGTCCCAGAAGCTTCTTCAGTTCTGCCAGATGTCAGAACTGGGGAGTATCTCTCTCTCTGGACGGTCCCACCCCTCCACCGCCCAGGCGTAGCTACAGATACCTCTATCTCTCTATCTCGATACCTACCTCACATAGGTATTCTTAAGGTGCTAGCTGTCAATAGGTAGGTTAGGTGGTTAGGCAGGCGGGCAGGCAGGCAGATGAAAGCTAGAGGGACAGGAGACAGATGAGAGAATAGAGAAAAGAGAAAAGAGAAAGAAAGAAAGAAAGAAAGAAAGAAAGAAAGAAAGAAAGAAAGAAAGAAAGAAAGAAAGAAAGAAAGAAAGAAGAAAGAGACAGACAGATGATAGATAGATAGATAGATAGATAGATAGATAGATGGATGGATGGATGGATGGATGGATGGATGGATGGATGGATGGATGGATGGAGGGAGGGAGGGAGGGAGGGAGACAGGCAGGCAGGCAGGCAGGCAGGCAGGCAGGCAGATTATAAGTAGAAAGATGATAGAAGCACACAAATACATACAGTGTATGTGTATATACAGTCTCTCTCTCTCTCCCTCTCTCTCTCATCTGCCTACCTACCTACCTTATCTTACCCATCTGTCTGTCTACCTACCTACTTGCCTGCCTGCCTGCCTATTTGTCTGTCTGTCTGTCCGTCCGTCTGTCTGTCTACCTATCTACCTGTCTGTTTACCTACCTATCTACCTATCTATCTACCTACCTACCTACCTACCTATCTATCTATCCTCAACTTACAAATACAAATTGGGACTAGAATTTCCATTGCTATGCATTAAGTGAATCCTGCCTGATTTTTTTTTTTACCACGGTTGCTAAGCAAATCAATGCAGTTGTTAAATGATTCGTGTGGTCGTTCAGCAAATCTGGCTTCCCCCATCACATGACCCCAGGACAGTGCAACGGTCCTCAGTGCACGCCAGTCGCCAAGCACCCAAAATCTGATCTTGTGACAATCAGGATGTTGTGAAGGCGTTCCCTCCAAGGAGTGGCTCTCAGTCATTTATGAAGCCCAATGACTTTTCAGCCAGCCCAATGCCTCATTTTCCATTTAAGCTGTATAATATGAATCATAAAAGGACATCAATAATTGCACACGGATTAACACCAAAACCGAGGAAGGCCGAGACTTCTGTAAATGTTTATGGGAAAAGAAGGGATGGAGAGGAAACGGAGCAGAAAAAGAATTAAAAGCCTTCCTGCTGGGGGCCAAAAATTGGGGAAATCAAATCATTGATCGATCCTAAAAGTTTAAATTGATCAGACAGATCCTAAAAGCTTAAGCTTAGGGGAGGAAGCAGGAATCTTCTTTTCAGGAGTTGTGATCTTGCACACCTATACAGCTTTTTAAATTCTTACCACGGGTGGGAGTTGGGGAAATAAGATGGCAAGAGGTAGCTTCCAGATCTTTTGTGCCACCATTTGCACAATACGTCACACCATTATTAAGGTCTGAAAAAAATTTTAATATGATGTTTTATTTTGAGAATTTTGGATTATGCTATATTGATTGTTTGGTGGTTTTATATCCTGTAAATATGGAAGTAAACTTGTTACTGTTGTTATACATTTTGATTATGTCTGGCCTTACAGCTGTAATAAACAGATTGATCGATTGATCTTGAAGGACATTTCTCGGCAGTTGCAACTAAGGAAATGGCCACACATTTATTCTATTTATTATTCATTCATTCATTCATTGCATTGTCGCCCATCTCTCCATCTCCTTGTCTCGGTGATGCCAGGAAATGTCCTTTTAGCAACCACCAGAAAGGCAGAAATATTTAATAACTCCGGGCGAGAAAGCATTCAGAGGCTTTTGCCACACGGGAAATCTTTCACCGCCGTTACTGTAATAGTTTTGGGTTTTGTAGTCCATAATAGCAGCAGCAGCAGCCGGTAAAAGCAGAGGGAAGGAGCAGAGGGAAGCTGGTTGAACAATTCAGACAACCGAAGCGTGTTGCAGAGGGAAAGAGAGCAGAGAACTAGCCGGGATCAAACCTGCCACTGCAGCGAAAATGAAAATGTTGGGAAGAAGAGAAATATGGACAGCAAAGGGTTCCTCCTTGGGGAAATGATTTAACAGCCGGGGGGGACTAGGGGGGTATCACCCCCAAAATTTCAGGGTTCATTTGCAACCCTCCCTTCAACGCATGGGAAAGCATTTGAACAAGAAGGTGAATTGAAAGAAGGGACATCTGGAAGGAGGGGCTGCATTCGATCGCACAAACGCATCGGTTCTTGCGAAAGGTGGAGCAAGCCGGTTTGGATAACAGAATAACAGCGTTGGAAGGGACTTTGGAGGTCATCTAATCCAGCCCCAGGCTCAAGCAGGAGACCCTTTACCATTTCAGACAAATGGGTGTCCAGTCTCCTCTTAAAAGTCTCCAGTGATGGAGCACCCACAACTTCTGAAGACACGTTGGTCTACTGGTTAATTGTTCTCACTGTTAGGAAATGTCTCTTTAGTTCCAGGTTGCTTCTCTCCTTGATTAGTTTCCATCTGTTGCCCTGTTCAGAAGGGCAAGCAAAAGTTTGCTATGAAAACTTCAGGAATACAGAATAACAGAGCTGAAAGGGACCCTGGAGGTCATCTAGTCCAATCCTCTGCTCAGGCAGGAAACCCCATACCATTTCGGACAAATGGCTGTCCAGTCTCTTTTTAAAAACTTTCAGTGTTGGAGCATTCACCGCTTCTGGAGGCAGGTTGTTCCACTGGTTAATTGTTCTCACTGTCAGGAAGTTTCTCCTTAGTTCCAGCTTCTCTCCTTGATTAGTTTCCATCTGTTGCTTCTTGTCCTGCCTTCAGG